GGGGGGAGAGAAAAGGGGGGAGAGAAACACCCCAGGGGAAGAGCCAGGGAAGGTCCCAGAGCTGGGCTGGGGGGTTCCCTTGTTACAAAACCAAAGGAAAAGGGGGAAAACTGAGCGAGGGGATGGGAAAAATGGGGGGTGGGGGTGACAGTGCCACAGGGAACGGCTGAATCCAGCTGCCCCCTCCTCCATTTACCCCCAAAAAAGCCCCTAAAACAGGACAGCTGAGACACAAACCACGGCCGAGGCTCCGAGGGAGGGTGGGGGGATCAACAGGTTGTTGGGAAAAAAAGAGAAGATAAAGTGTCCAAAACGTGCATTGGAGGCACCCAGCCCGGGGTTAAACCCCTCAGAAATGTCTGGTGACTTCTGCCAGCCCCCCCAAAATTCTCCCTCTTGGCTGAGCCAGGTGGAGACCCCCCCTAAAAAGAGGGGAAATGTTTAAGGGCTGGTCAGACCTTCCCCAGATAGGGGGGGAAAGTGAATTGAGGTCACCTCAAAGAGGTTCCTGTGGTGTCCCCACCTCCCCAACCCTGGAGACAACCCCCCAAAGACCAACAGAACCATCTTCACTCACACCCCAGCCCCCCCAAACAACCTTCTGGGGGGGGAGTCCCCAAATCTCTGCCTGAGGCAGGTTCTGAGGTCGACTAGGGCTTGAGTTTGAGCCAGGGATGAAGGATGGTGATGATGGAGAGGATGGAGGAGGTGAGACCACAGAGCCCCACGAAACCAGGGCTGGTTTTGTACAACCCCAGCTTGTCCAGGGGGATAAAAAGGTCACAGAGGTTTTTCACCAGGTCCAGCAGCAGGGGGGGGTTGTGACGAAGGATTCGGGCCAGGAGGCGAAGCTGGAGCTGCAGCCTCAGCCCCAGGGGCTGGAGGCCACTGCTGGCCCCAAATTGGTGGCCATTCTCTTGGCCCTTGGCTCTTTTCCCACCAGCCTCACGCTCCAGCAGCAGCCGCAGCTCGTAGGCGTCCCGGCTCAGGTTCACCACCAAGGCAAAGAGGTAGTACCTGGAGGGGGAAAAAAAAGAGTGGGGAGGGGAGGGAAGAGAGAGGAAGAGGAGGAGAAGGGAGCTGGGGGTCAGGGGAGGTGGCTGCAAGAGGATGGGGCGCCCTCCCCTTCGTGCGCTCTCCCTTGGCAGCCACGAGCATGAGATGGCATCCAACAACTGCCTCAGAGGGAGGGAGGAGCTCACGGGCTAGGAAGGGCTGGGCTGAGTGTCCTCAGCTCCTGGCATGGCACAAGGAAGGGAGAAACCCCTTAAATGTGCATTGGGGAGGTT